CTTCTTGGCTTTCTCTTCTGCGCTAAGAAAATGGCAGATTTCAGTAAGTGATTGGTTGGATAGTCCTTCGACTATCTTGTCATATTTCTCCCACACCCCTCCCAGCGAAGAGAAATATATCTCACCTGAAGACCCCCCGTTTACGTAAGACGGACTCCCTTTCATTGCGACTGTAAACCAGAGTATCGGCATACTAATGACTATTGCAGCAGGTTTCCCATTTTGGAGATAACCAAGTTTAGGCCTGGAGAACTTGTCCGAAGTGGGCAGAATGTCTTTGCTTAATCCGAAGACCTTGGTTATCTTAGTAGGGTGTTCGGTAATCATATCAAGTGCACACATTCCTGGAATGATGGCATCGTGAATGGTAAATACGTCTACGCAGTACGTATTAAAGCAAAGAATGTTCTCTACCTGTCCTACCGGTCGAATATTTGACTTTGCAAACATCGTAAGTAGCGCTCCTTCTTGGTTTTATTTTCAAAATACTGGATTGTAACCTTGAGATTGCGTCAATTTCTGACTTTTGATAGCCAGAATCGCTGAATAAATGATCAATTAAGGCAACTTGTGCCCTAGAAGCAAAGCATCCTTGAAGCGCCTTCTTAAATTTATGCGCTGTGACGATCATTTCTCTAGATTTGGTTCCTTTTGAGGATGCCAATTTTCCATATAATTTTGTGGTTTTTTTGAAGAGCGCAGCTATGTTCGTTTGCTTTCCGAATTTCGTTCTGACAGAGAACGGACAGTTAGACCCTTTTGCACCAATCCTATTCCAAAGGGCACTTGATACTTTCTGCTGCTTAACTCTTGATAAACCAGTACGCGTTCTGCGTTCTGTGATCATTTATACTGGTCCACTTGTCGACCCATGAGTTGGCAACATTTAGAAACTCACGATCCTTTATCAGGATTTTCTTCAAGCCAACAGGAATAGCTGGGGCATCAGCTGTACTATCGTCCATAGGTGCTGCCATTGTAGATCTACAATGAATCAAGAAATTGTTGTTTAAATTTGAAATTCCGAGCTACTGCTTTTTTTCTTAAAAAAAAAACAATAAAATGTCTAATTTCTCTAGATTTGGTTCCTTTTGAGGATGCCAATTTTCCATATAATTTTGTGGTTTTTTTGAAGAGCGCAGCTATGTTCGTTTGCTTTCCGAATTTCGTTCTGACAGAGAACGGACAGTTAGACCCTTTTGCACCAATCCTATTCCAAAGGGCACTTGATACTTTCTGGTTTACGAATTTTACCTTTTTCGTATATAAGATGTCCCTCCAACTGACTGCCTCGGTATACAGGCTACCTACAGCAGCTTTTAGTGCCCTGAACTTTTTCTCCAAAGATTCGATTTTCTTTGGATCCTTTCCCTTTGATTCAGGGATGTCATAAAGATCGTGAGCAATAATCATGCGAATGATTAATTTGGCTAATGGAATGAGAGGAACATATTTATGTTTCAGTACTTTTTCTTCTACAAAGATCTCTTCGTGTGATGGATATTTCTCATATGCTGTACCTGGTTGTCCAACGACTACCTCTGCACCGTATTAACTTTTGACTCCTTTCCAAAAGTGAATTCTGCCCTTTCTTGTAATTCGGACTTTTTAGGTGCCTTGTCGATTTGTTTGTAGGTGGATTGGGATAATTTTTCCGCATTACAGATGATGTCAGTACCATCCCATCTAAGTTGGAGAACAGCCTGGCATATACATTCCAAGAAGCATTGGCCTGTCTCGAAACAAGTCCCCTGATTCGCGATAAAAGCGCCTGCTGCTAAACTCTTGATAAACCAGTACGCGTTGTGCGTTTTGTGATCATTTATACTGGTCCACTTGTCGACCCATGAGTTGGCAACATTTATAAACTCACGATCCTTTATCAGGATTTTCTTCAAGCCAACAGGAATAGCTGGGGCATCAGCTGTACTATCGTCCATAGGTGCTGCCATTGTAGATCTACAATGAATCAAGAAATTGATGTTTAAATTTGAAATTCCGAGCTACTGCAAATTATATATATGATACCATATATATATTTATATATATATATATGTTATATATAAATATAAATATATAAACATATATATATTTTTTTAAGAATACGTTTTCTTAAAAAAAAAAAAAAACAATAAAATGTCTGATTTCTCTAGATTTGGTTCCTTTTGAGGATGCCAATTTTCCATATAATTTTGTGGTTTTTTTGAAGAGAGCAGCTATGTTCGTTTGCTTTCCGAATTTCGTTCTGACAGAGAACGGACAGTTAGACCCTTTTGCACCAATCCTATTCCAAAGGGCACTTGATACTTTCTGCTGCTAAACTCTTGATAAACCAGTACGCGTTTTGCGTTCTGTGATCATTTATACTGGTCCACTTGTCGACCCATGAGTTGGCAACATTTATAAACTCACGATCCTTTATCAGGATTTTCTTCAAGCCAACAGGAATAGCTGGGGAATCAGCTGTACTATCGTCCATAGGTGCTGCCATTGTAGATCTACAATGAATCAAGAAACTGATGTTTAAATTTGAAATTCCGAGCTACTGCAAATTATATATATGATACCATATATATATGTTTATATATATATATGTTATATATAAATATATATATATTTTTTTAAGAATATGTTTTCTTAAAAAAAAAAACAATAAAATGTCTAATTTCTCTAGATTTGGTTCCTTTTGAGGATGCCAATTTTCCATATAATTTTGTGGTTTTTTTAAAGAGCGCAACTATGTTCGTTTGCTTTCCGAATTTCGTTCTGACAGAGAACGGACAGTTAGACCCTTTTGCACCAATCCTATTCCAAAGGGCACTTGATACTTTCTGGTTTACGAATTTTACCTTTTTCGTATATAAGATGTCCCTCCAACTGACTGCCTCGGTATACAGGCTACCTACAGCAGCTTTTAGTGCCCTGAACTTTTTCTCCAAAGATTCGATTTTCTTTGGATCCTTTCCCTTTGATTCAGGGATGTCATAAAGATCGTGAGCAATAATCATGCGAATGATTGATTTGGCTAATGGAATGAGAGGAACATATTTATGTTTCAGTACTTTTTCTTCTACAAAGATCACTTCGTGTGATGGATATTTCTCATATGCTGTACCTGGTTGTCCAACGACTACCTCTGCACCGTATTAACGTTTGACTTCTTTCCAAAAGTTGAATTCTGCCCTTTCTTGTAATTCGGACTTTTTAGGTGCCTTGTCGATTTGTTTGTAGGTGGATTTGGATAATTTTTCCGCATTACATATGATTTCAGTACCATCCCACCTAAGTTGGAGAACAGCCTGGCATATACATTCCAAGAAGCATTGGCCTGTCTCGAAACAAGTCCCCTGATTCGCGATAAAAGCGCCTGCTGCTAAACTCTTGATAAACCAGTACGCGTTCTGCGTTTTGTGATCATTTATACTGGTCCACTTGTCGACCCATGAGTTGGCAACATTTATAAACTCACGATCTTTTATCAGGATTTTCTTCAAGCCAACAGGAATAGCTGGGGCATCAGCTGTACTATCGTCCATAGGTGCTGCCATTGTAGATCTACAATGAATCAAGAAATTGATGTTTAAATTTGAAATTCCGAGCTACTGCAAATTATATATATGATACCATATATATATATATATATATATATATATATATATATATATATATATATATATATATATGTTATATATAAATATAAATATATAAACATATATATATTTTTTTAAGAATATGTTTTCTTAAAAAAAAAACAATAAAATGTCTAATTTCTCTAGATTTGGTTCCTTTTGAGGATGCCAATTTTCCATATAATTTTGTGGTTTTTTTTGAAGAGCGCAAGCT